TATTATTATTACGTTAGTTATAGTTAAGTATAAGTAAGTAGTAGTATAGTAGTAGTAGTAGTAGTAGTATAGTAGTATATAGATANNNAAATAGATAGATAGAGAGAGAGAGAGAGAGAGATAAAAGAAAGATGTACATGACTTTTTAAAGAGTTTTTATTTTTTATGGGTTCTTTTTTATTTATTTTCTTGTAAGTGTATTTAAATGGAAGAGGTCCCTCATTGTAACAAGAAGAGAATTTGGTGATTATGTCAAGAGTTATTCCCTCATTGTAAAGAGAAGAGAAATTGGTGATTCAGTAAAGACTTGAACTTGTGAAAAGATCTTTTTGGGTTGGACCCCCTTGCAGACCCAGAGAGAGACTAAATTCTTTCACTCTTTATTTTTATTTTAATTATTTCTTCCCTCTATCTTCACTGCATCTGTCACGCATGCTAATATCGGATATAGATGAATCAATCATTATTGTGGTTACGAAATAATAGATAGATGTGAGAAGAGTGGCAGTCTCGTCTCTCAAGCATCTATGAAACAATGAAATGTGCAATGCCAATTGTTGTAACCCCCTTGTAGAACAATGCCTCATAAGTGATATACCTAAACCTAGGTGTCCCGTTTGATCCGAGCTGTATTTAGAGTTTCAATTAAAAAGGAGCCTTTCAGTGAGGAAGTGGCTGCATGAAATTCTCCTCACTTAGATCTCCATCAAGGAGTTCATTCTCAATGTCCATTAGATGTAAGGGCCAGTCTCTAGCAATAATTCCCACATCTACAAGCTCAAACTTTTGTCATTGTATGCTCTTGAGTCTTGAGTGTGGACTGTGGCTACTGATCGAACCATCTTCATGTCAAAATAGTCATCTATTATGGTTTGCTCTATCATCCACTTAAAATTTATGGCTGTTTTAGCAGCTGGAAGTTACACAGAGTCTTTGGTTTTATTCTATTGTTAAGAAGGCTCCTGAATGGAAGTAAAGCAATGAACGCAGTATGGTCACTCAAGGAGGGCTCAATGCTACGTTGCACTTGAGGAACAGAGGCGTCATGAGACTAACAGACTTAAACAATAGGAGTAAAGGGCAAAAAATGATATCCCTGAGGATGTTGATCGGAGATCTCAATTAAAGCCTACTAACAAAAAGGGACCATTGAGTCGGTAAACCATTTTGTTGCAGAATAATATATGTTTATTTATGTATAATTGTATATATGCTGGTATGTCCATATGGAAGAATTGGGTGTCTCTTTTCACAAAGTCCTGTAGGATTGAGGTGAATCTTGAAGCCATACAGTCTAATCCTCTTCTAGACTGGCCCCTGACCAGTGTAGGAAAAATTGGGCGGTTCAAATTCTAACCGCCCGGTTAAATTGGAATCGGCCACTTGCCGGTTCCGATTTTGGCAGGTTTTGGTGATCTAATTGGGTATTCTTAAAATATAATTGAAAAAATATAAAATCCCAAAAAATAATGAATTTTGTTTGTAATGTATTTTTTAATGTTTTTCATCATTTTGGAAAAGATTGGAAATTGTTTTGGCAATTAATACTTATTTTTACATTTTCCCACCTTGAGTCCCAAGCAATTTATTATGTGGAGCATTCTTCTTCTTTCTTTCTTCTTCTTTTTTTTTTTTTTTTTTATCAGAAAGTGCATTTGTTTATTTCTATGAAGTTCTTGAATTAGGTTGAGTCATATTATCCAAATTTTAAGATCCAAAATAAATTTGTTGAAATTTTGATATGGTTTTGTCTTCTCTATATGGAAGTTTTAATCTTTTAATTGCAGTTTCTCAGTTCTACATTTTAGTTTTTCTGCATGCTTGGTGGAAAAAAAAAAGGTTCCTCTGTGGTGTTATTTATCTTGAGTGGAGAGAAACTTATTTGATGCAATGAATACCTTTGAATGTACATCGTGGTTATATTTCAGTATTCTTGGTTTATTTTAAGCTCTATTGGATAAATGTGGTGGCATTAAGCACTGGTTTTGTTTGTATGACTAACAGGGTGACAATGAGTTTTAATATAGTACAGTGGTTGTCACTCTGACATCTAAGTACCAAAGATGCGTCATTTGTTTTCAGATGCAGTTGGAGCACCAAGACAGTGGTGGTTTGGTGGGGGAACTGATCTAACTCCTTCCTACATATTTGAGGAGGATGTCAAGCACTTTCATATGGTAAACTGATTACTGGGCATCTGAATTTTATGCTGAGAATTATACTATATGATTGACTATGAAAGAACATTGGTCTATGGGATCATCACTTTCTAATGCAGTACTGAGTGGTAATGGAGAGTGGGACCACCATTTGGGTCATGTCTTGTTCTGGTGGGTCGCACTCTTCCCACCATCCATTCCAATGTATGATAACAACCAATGGACTATGGTTATTGTCAGTCCATGGGATTATATTATAACTTTTACTATGAAGCATATCTGATATTCATTGTGCAGAATGGCTTTAATTCAATGCTTAGACAAGCCTCATTGGCTTATTTGCATGTTGCATGATGGTCTTGCCATCATGGCTGGTGACACATTTTTCATTATGTGCTTGTCGCTTACCACTCACTAGTTCATCTATTCTCTTCTTGTGTATGTCTTTTGCTTGGTGTCTCCTTCCAGTGATATTATATCATTATTAATAGTACATAGCGGATGCATTGCATGGGTCAAATAGATTGTTATCTAAAGGTTTTTTCTCTGAAGTACTTTTCACTAAACAATTATTATTTATCTAAAAAGTTCTTATTTTTCTTATCAAATCCGACCTTCAATTGCTTCTCTGATTAAAGTAGGGGAGAAACCTATTCACTTATCTTTCTATTGGAATAGGAACGAATTCTTGACCAAAAGTGCAAATATCTTTAAGTCTACCCACTTTCTATAACCCTTGCATTAAAGTAGGAGAAATCCATTTATCTAATTCCTATGGAAAATGACATTCCAACATATTTGCCTTTTCATTAGACAAGGAGTTACTGGACCAAATCAAACTCCCCGCCTACCAGCAAATGGACAGAAGCAAAACTAAAGGATCTTATTTAAACATCCTTTGTTGTTGAATATTTACCTTATTGTGGTTGTGTGCCCATGGGACTCATCAACTCTTTTTGTTTCGAAGCAGTTGAATTTATAGTAGTAAATGTACATCTCTGCCCATGGGACACATCAACTCTTTTTGTTTCGAAGCAGTTGAATTTATAGTAGTAAATGTACATCTCTGTTTACACTGGCTGAAAAAAATTGTGGGTCAGAATTTCACACAAAAATGTACCCAAGAAAAGGGAAAAAGTACAGACTCCGAAAGACCAAAAAAAGTAATTGCATTCTTTCTTATCTCTTGAACTCCTCACATAGATAAATTTCTTACCATTACATGCAATAGTGCACGAAGACTGTATTTCAAATGCATACACATGAACTGCTGGATTCATGCAAAACTTTTGAGATTGTTATCTGTTTATAACAATTGTTGTTTCCTTGTAAAATGATGATTAGAATCATCATTAGAACAAACAACTTCAAGTTTCATCTGGAAGAAGACTAACAATGTACTTTTTGTCTAGGCTCAAAAGCAGGCTTGTGATAAGTTTGACCCTGGGTTCTACCCTAGATTCAAGAAATGGTGTGATGATTATTTCTATATCAAGGTACATTTTCTGTTTTTGTTGTTCACATGATTGATTTGCGAAACTATGTGTTCTGTTTAACTGGTGGCATCAATTAATGACAGATGTTTAAAAAGCATTGAAGCATCTTGGCTGTTGTATGTTTTGTGAGGCAAAAATCTAAAAGAAAATTAACCTATGGGTTTCGCTTTCTACAGCACCGTGGGGAAAGGCGTGGTTTAGGAGGAATCTTTTTTGATGATCTTTGTGATTATGACCAGGAGCTTTTGCTTGGTTTTGCAACAGGTAAGAAGTGTTCTTTTGATTTCTTATCCTGGATTTAATGGACCAACGAGCAGATTTAGCATTTTAAATTATTGTCTCGTAATATTCATTTTGTTTTCTTGGTAAGTTTGCTGGGTTTGAAATTACTTCCTCAAGATTGTAAGCAGTCATAATGTATTTGTGATGTGCTATTTATATATTTTGATTAATGAAGTTTAAATTTGAAGTGGGCCAATTACATTCAAGGCATCTTTAGAGTTTGCACTGCCTATCATATACCATGTCTAAACTTTATCCCTATATATAGATTAATTTGGTAAATTGAAATATATATTATAATAACTGACTGGTTGATCCGACCAGCATCCTCAGTGATTCAGCCTCTGCCCATGCTTCGGAAACATTCACTGGAAAATGGAGGGAAGCCTGTGGCCTTAGAGTTGTCAGGCTAGCTAAATTTTTAGAACATTGTTTTATTTCAAGAGAGGTGATTATCATCTCAAGAGAAGGTCATTGTCTTATTTATAAGAAATGTAAAAACACACTCTGGAATTGAAACTCATTCCACATGAAACTGCCTTCATTGTTTTTTTGAGCTTTCTTTGTTGATATATTGATGCTGTGAGGAACATAAGTGAGATAAGCGCCTCCACATGCAGAGACATATGAATGGACGATTGAAGCATTTTTTCTTGTATATAAAAACGCGGGTCACTCTATAATTGGGGGGCTCCTATTTAATCTAAACATGGTGACTCATTCAATGCTCTCACCAATAAAGGGGCCATGGCTGCCCTTGTACATAGAGAAGATGGATTTGCATGATTAGATTCTTGCATTTGGAACTAATGGCTGGTGTGCATCTCAAACCATGCTTGGGAGTTGGGACTTTTGAAGCGACATTTTACGTGATGGCAGATTTATGGTTCTTTGGTGATATCTTTGGTTTCCATAGAACCCTATTTAGGTGTTCACACACTCAAAAAATGCTGCTGTTTTGTGAATGAGATGAAAACTGAAGATATTTCATCCAACTTGCAAACCACTGCATTTTGTTGGAAAGCTAAACTGCATATTGACCAATATGTGAGTTGCATCCAAACTAGGGATAAATTTACGTTGCACACATTCAAAACATAACCCCAAATAATAATCACTAGTGGTTAAGAGTTTTGCCGTTTATGAAATGTAGTAATTGGATTGAATTTTTTTTTTTTTAATTATATCCTTAAGAAAAATTGATGTAGTCGATTTTGCTTCATTAAATCAAGTTTTGTTTCTCGCTCTCCAGTTAATATGCGTTTCATTTACTTTACCATGATAAGGTCATGGTATATTCGAGCTCTGTTTCGTGGTTGAATCTCAATTGATCCTGATGAAATCTAACATTTTGTTGTTGTAGAGTGTGCAAAGTCGGTGGTACCAGCATACATTCCAATCATAGAAAGACGAAAGGATACCCCATTCACAGATCAGCATAAAGCATGGCAGCAATTACGGAGGGGCCGCTATGTCGAGTTCAACTTGGTATTTACACCTCCCCAATACCTAATGTTGATAGGAGCATTTATACTCATTTCACCTATCTAATGAGAGAGACAATTCTTATAATAATTTTCTATTGAAATCATCAAGGTTTATGATCGTGGTACAACATTTGGACTCAAGACGGGAGGCCGGATTGAAAGTATTTTGGTTTCTCTTCCATTGACTGCTCGATGGGAATATGACCATGTAATCTTCTTCTCATCAACTCAATTGATTGCTGGTCAAAGAAAAAAAAAAATCATTCAATTGATTACTTTAAGCTTTTTAGGACTTATGCAGTGAAATAATTTGAAATTTATTTTTGTTTTGTAGAATCCGGAAGAAGGAAGTGAAGAATGGAAGCTTCTAGATGCATGCATTAACCCCAAGGAATGGGTGTGACATCCCTTGCAAGCAATGTTTGTTGGTATTCTTTTCTCAACTGAATCTCACCCATGTTTTGTAGCTAGAGCAGGAGGACTTCAGTGCATAATTTTCATGAGTAGGTCTTGTGATTTTCTGTAGCGGGGCTTCTTGTTTTATTCCAACCCTAATTTGTATTATCATTGATGTCCTTTCTGATGTTAGATCTTACTGAGGATATTGTATTGCAAATTAATAAACACCAATTCTGTGTGTTCCAAAGAGACTCAATGATTCCCTTGGGCAGTATTTATTTATCTATTTATTTATCTTAGGGAAATATCAAGAAAATGGTCAAACCACCTGAAGAAAATGAATGCATTGTTAAATCAATTACCAAAGTACCAAACTATATTGGTTACTTTTAACATATCATTTCACTTAGCTCCCTTTTCAACTATTTATTACGTTCAAAACGTTGCACAAATTACTCATTTTTTTTGGGTTCAAAACTCTAATGTAGTGGGGGATAATTAGTAATTAGCCACTTTACTCGAACCATAAATATCTCTTGATTTCAAATTAAGTATTTATGCCTTTTGGCTCGGGTGAATTAAGTGGTATTAAATTATCGGACTGCTCTAATTTGTTTTGGGTTCCAAATTTGGAGCAAGGTTCTTTCTAATAAAGAAATATGATCTAGGTTTGGTATCCATAATAAGTATGTGTATGTAGGTTATTTGGCTCAAGTGGTTCGATTGAGTCAAATTACTAAAATGCACTATGATTTTTCTTACCAAAGATCTTGGAAGAGGTTTCTAATTGATGTATTTTTTTTTTTTAAAAAAGTAACCATTATATTTGTTAAAATTATTTATGTAACGAGGTTCGATTTTTTGAAGGGGGTCGACACCTTCCTTTGATAAGGGCAGTTCTAGGTACTTGAATCCTAATACCATTGTCTTATCAAAACTCTTATGAATTGGGCCAAATTAATTTGGTTTTAGATCGTAGAGAAGATCCTTAGTTGTCTAATGGTCCAAGAATTACTTAATTGTAATACACAATTTGAAAGTCATAGTCAAAACAGTAATATTTGCCAAAATTCTATTTCAGTCAATTGGATAACCCCAGTAGCATTACACAACACTATAGCGCTTCTGTTATTGTGTCGCACAAGCCATTTTTGCCTGAACAATTTTTTCATGCGGGCTGGACCGCATTTGTACAATATGCGGTCTAAAGGTATAAAGCATCCATTTTAAAGATGGATGCAAATAGGCAGTCCATCTAAAAACGATTGTAATTGACAGTCCAAAGGTTTTTTAATATAATTATTATTTATAGTTTATAAAATTTATTTATTTATTTATATTCATGATCTCCATGTAAAATTATATATTCTCTAAAAATTAAGATCCTATTATATATCAAAAATATGTTTATTGTTAAGCCCGTATTTCTACATGTGCAGGCTTGACACATGTTAACCGCGTCCCTTTTGCCCAAATTTTCACTGGAACATTGTTTAGCAGCACCATATAAATATGTTGCACACTGTTGTGCCCAGAAATTGCCCGAAATGTGCCATATTTTGTCCATAACCGCTACATAGCTTGACTCGACTCGTTGTGTGCGATGATACATGAATTGCTCAACGATCGATGGCTCAGATTAAACTGCCACTTGGTGGATGGTGGAGGGTAGTAACAGTCCCTAAGCTCTGTTAGTTAAACTTTTTTCTCTCATTTTAGGGATTAAAATCCATGAAGTTGTTCGCAAGCCCTAGTTTGTTCCCTTTTACCATTTTGCCCTTCAAACCCTAGGAACCCTAGGCCTCCGAACCACTAACCATCCGAGACACTGCAACTTTTTGCAACTCTAGGAAACTCGATCCTGCTTCTCGATACCCAGAGCAACCCGAAATCACCATAACCTGGTCTATTGAGTGCCTTGGAAAGGACCCTAGGGCACCATAGACATCACCTGCCTCCAAGGCTTCATGTACTCTATTGGAACTCGGCCAATGGGCATCTCTGGCTCAAGAACTCTGCAAGACCATAAGAATGGTTACCTCGCAGCGATCAATTTGACTCATGCCTCAACTCTGTACACTAAGTAGGCTTCTATCTTTTTTTTTTCCTTTTATTTTCTTTCATTATCATCGTCAAAGCTTTTTCCCAACTATTTTCTAAGGTTGTTTAAACCTTCTTGAACCCATATCTTCTATCTTTTTTATTTTCTTTTTATTTTCTTTCATCATCATCGTCAAAGCTTTTTCCCAACTATTTTCTAAGGTTGTTTAAACCTTCTTGAACCCATATCTTCTATCTTTTTTTTTTCCTTTTATTTTCTTTCATTATCATCGTCAAAGCTTTTTCCCAACTATTTTCTAAGGTTGTTTAAACCTTCTTGAACCCATATCTAATAGGGCCTCCCCCCCCCCCCTCCCTCCCTCCCCTGTTAATCAATGATGTAGAGCATGTCACTGACGATGAGTAGCTCATCATTGATAATTTGATTGCCTGGATGGAGCTGATGTTCATCTCTAACTGTTACAAATTCATTTTCCTATAAAGGTGCGCGTTTCTAGCTAGCCCAAGGTCAGAATTTGGACCGAAGAGACACTCCTTTGAGAATGTAGGCCATTAACCTCAACCTTAACCTTAAGCCCTAAAACCAAAAATTTCAGACCTTCTCTAGACCCCCCTTAAAGCCCCTAAAGAAGCCATCTGTTTATATGCTTCTTTCAACCTATGGATATTTAACTTATGGTATGGGAAACCCTAGACCTTAACCCACAAAAACCACTCAAGCTCAGAACCTCAAATTCAAGCTGAACTACTTCCTAGGTCTCTCTAAGTTGGAGAACTTTGGATCACAAAACTCACCGGTCTGATCTAGGCCCCACTATGGGTGCCAAGCCTTTGGGCCCGACTTAACCAATCAAGTCATTTCTTTTTCTTTTTTTGTGCCTCATGGCGATATATGTTAGGTAAATTAGTAAAAAATGTTAATTTTGGTGAATTTTTAGCTAACAAGGTTGGCAGACCATTGGAAGTAGGTCAAGAGGTCTAGTTTCAGTGTCCCGTAATTTGACAAAATCCGTAATCTCTACTAAGTCAGGTTTCGGTTGATTTTTTGTTTAGGAAAAAATAAGTACGTGTCGAGACTTTGGGGCTCCGAATTTTGGCTCTATGAAAAATTGCCCGCGCCAAATCTCAGCCGTAAACTCCTCAGGGATAGAAATCCCCTACCATCTGCCTAAAGGTCACTTTGATTTTATTGTTCACTGAGGGTCCTGTACGGTGCCAACATCGGAATAGTAATCTTGATCTTTTCCATTTACAAAATTGGGTCATAGGATAGTTAAGTGACCTCAAATTTTGAGGCTGAGTTTGGGAGGCTTTAGATTAAATTCCCATAAAGTTTGGTGCTGGCCAGTGCTTCATCACTTGGACAAGCCAGGTCGAACTCGCCCACACAACTCGGTCTAGCCAGGGCCTGAGTATCCCTAAGTTGAGTGTCCAATTTGGGATCTTAAAAAAAAATCAACAAAATTTAAAAAAAATAAAAAAAATAAGAAATTTATTTCCTTTTTTACTTATTTATGTTTTCTATCAATTTGTCAAATATTGAAAAGAGTTTTGTCCACGAATACTTATTTTTATAGTTCCCTTTTTTTTAGGATATTTTTAAAAATACCCCCTTCACAAATTGAAAATTTCAAAATCTATGTTTTGAACCTCATTAAGATGTATTTTGTTTAATTTTACCTTAAACATATGTTTATTTTTTTTGTATTTTTTTTAGCACTTTTTGGCTTGGCCAGAACTCCGGAACTCAGCCCAACTCGGCTTGGGATACTTGGACGCCACCATGGGCCAAGTACTCGGCCCAAGTCGATCATTCAAACACTGGTAGTGACAGCTTTACTGTTGGAAAGGACATTGGACCCTAACTTTGAGAACCTTGAAATGTGTAATGGTTGACGAATTTATAATTTGAGGGTTTGTTCAAAACACGTTAAACAGAATTTCCACTAGTTTTTACGGCATTTGGTCAAAGATTTGTCCGATTTATCTTGCCACCGGTGTCCTGTTAGAGAGTTTTTCAGAAGAGTTTCAAGTTGTTTCACAATAATAACCCGTTTGTTTCAAAGTGTTTTAGAAAGTGCAAAGCTTTGGAAACGGTATTTTGTTTTATATGTATAGGGAGAAGTGTTGGTTATTTATCCCACATTGCAGATGTGGAAAATAGTTCATTTGTGTAGATGGAGAAGGCCTATGCAAAGTATACGTACATGCGATGGCACTTTATGATGCGCTTTGCACTTCTAACTTCGCACGTTTATATTGGTGCATGAGGTGTCCCTTGTCTGAGCATTTGTGCATGTCTGGTTCATTTAGCGTTTTGGTTCAAGTGGATTTTATGTTCTCGTAGAATGCCCCCTCCGGTGAAGAGTCATGCTCCGGTAGAGTGGTGTGATTGGTGAATTGTGTCCGACAAGATGGTTCTAGTGGATTGGTGCATCCCGGTAATCCCTGTATTTTGTGCCCTTTGATGAAATGTGGAGCTCCAAGGAAGCACGCTCAAGTACTTGTGCTCTACCAGTGAAAACGCGTAGAGAATATGTGACATTTGGTCTTCTAAAACTTGAGGAGGCTTCGATGACGGTTACTTTTGGAGCTCGAAGAGGAACTGCGCTGCACTGACAGTTGAGATTAGGGTACTTTTATCTCGATTTATATATGGATGTGTTTTTTCCTGTTTTGATACACCGAAGCCATTCGAGTTTTCAAAGTTGGGAGAACTTTTGCTCTATAGAAGGCAATTATTGCGTTTTAGATCTTACAATAGTTGTGTATTTGTATTGATAAGATAATTCCCTAGATCCTTGAAGACAAATTTGCATGGTTGTAACTTAGATGCACACCGATTTCTTGCATGGTTGTAACTTAGATGCATACTGATTTTTATCGGCAAAAAGCAAATATTACAGTGAGAAAGCAATATATTGCACTTAAAATAAAAGAGATTGAAACATCCTTGTTTTCACCTCCTTTATTTTGCCTAGCTTCACCCTTTCCAACATGAAATTCACAAGCTTCCGATTTGAAGCGGTAGAATTGGGGATCAAATCTTAACCTCATGTAAACGAAATTTAGGTAGAAAACGAACTTCGATCCAACCAATAGAGCTAAATGGTTTAGAAGCTCGGGGGCTATCACACAAAAAATGGCTTTTTGGGAAGGAACAAGGGCAAATGTCACGTTTTTTATTGGTATCATTCGATTTGGATTAGAAATCGTTCACTCTATTTTGATTCCTCAATATATTGGAATCCAAACGACTCTCTTTTTGAACATGTTGGTCGTGATGACTGTTTCTATCTAATCTAAATGGAAACCTTTTTCTTTTTTTTGGAAGTCGTGTAATTTTATTTTTTTAAAAAAAGAAGAGAGGCACCCCACCTGTTTTTGGAAGTCATTTATCAAAATAAACCGATCTAAACGGTCAATATTTTTTTTTTTTTTTTGGAAGTTATGTATAACTTTTTTAAAAATAAAAAGAGGTACCCCACCTATGTTTTTTTTTACGCCAAAACCGGCCGATCCAGGTCACTTATTCATCTTTTAAACCTTGGGCAAACCTTAAAATAACATAGGGTACCTGATGAGGGATTTAACCAGTAAAAGGTTAGTTCATTATTGATTTTGGGTTTTTAACTCGAAGGGCTAGGAACTACAATCACCGCAAGACTCTGTGTATTCAAAATACACAAGATCATTGCCTAAAGAAAATTAATATCATATGATAGTGATTTAAATGAATAATAAATAATTAAATAAGAACTACCCTCAACCACTATACGGATATAAATTATAAGGGAAAAGTATATATAGAGCCTAGGCTCTAAACAATCAAATTAGAGCCTACCTCAAAAATTTCACTAGAAGAGGTTGTTTTGATGCTCAAATATCGTCTCATTGATCATCTCGACATCAAGATGCATGCATGGACTTTAAAAAAAAATAGATTTCAAGTTTTGGAAATAATGCATTTTGTAAAGCATTTTTGGACCATCAATTTTTAAGTTATTCAAGTTTTCCTAGATTTGCTCGATCTACAATATATTTGATGTATTAAATTTTATAATTAAAGATGAAAATATATTTTAAGGCTAGTCAAGGATTTCCAATATTGAAACCATATATCTCGATGCTATCTGAAGGTGGGCTCTATTTTGACTGTTTAGAGCCTCACAAACCGCACCCTAAATACAAAAGGTGTGGTTTTTTAATAAGGTCACAACCTTAAACAATGCAATTACGGCGCATCTCCAAAGCTCATTGAATGATGGAATCTTAAGGCTAAGAATTTCAATGATGACTTTAAAAACTACTTCATATCTAATTATGAAATTTGAAACTAAAAAAACAATACATATCGAGCAGATCTACAAATACTTAAAAATCTTAAAAATAAACAGTCTAGATAATATATTATAAGACGTATCAATTTTTTATACTTTAAAATCTTTTTTTCTTTCACATCAGTACATATCGAGGTCAACGTAAACAATTCGAGGATTTTTCACCATCAAAATAACATATTTTTTTCATGATTTTGAGTCTACCTTTCTTCTACAATTTAAAGTTGCAACATTATATAAACTTTTTCTAAATATAAATGAATCTATAAAAGAAGAAAAATAGTCTACCCTTTTACAAGTTAAAAAACAGAGGAACTCAGCAATACCAAGGTTTTCGAAATAGGCGAGCCGAACAATAGAAACATAAAACCTAATTTCTATCCATAAGCTTTCAAACATCATCTACTTAGAACCAAGGATTAGAATTTCCAAGAAATATGAAACTTAGGATTCGAGCTAAATCTCGGATTTTGATCTACATGAAGCCAACCATCCCCAAAGATCTTTAACTGGGTCTAGAATCCCGTAGAGATATTTAAGTCTTTTCATAAGTTGCCCAAGCCAAACGAAAATACTAATCGAGAACATATATTTTTAATTAAAATCTCTTATTTCGGGTTTGGTACCTAAAACAAGCACTATATTTGACAAATGGTACATCTTATTTGAGGTAGAAAAAAAATCAAAATGTCTTGTTTGTTTAAGATTCCAAACGTTGACACATGAATTTGGGGCATTTTTAGCCAAACTGGGCAAAATGATGCAGTTTTAGGAAGTTTTTTTTACCCCCAATTACAAAAACTTTAAGCTCGAGAAACTAGGTAGCAAAATACTTAAAAATATTAAAAAATAGAGGGTCTAGATAAAATATTTTTTATAAAGAGTTTTCTTGTGTAAGGAGGAGGTTGCTCAAGGTCTTAGAGGCGGGATGCTCTGCTCGTTCCAAAAGAAATCCCCACTGTCCACCTCTGCCTTCACCATTGCCAACCTCCTGAAATTCCCCTTAAAATACTTCTCACCCCAAACCCTAGCCTCCTCATATCCCCCAAAACGGCCATTAATGCCCAAATCAAGGTCCCTGTAATTCAAATAGGCAGCCCTTGGCTTCTTCGAAACATATCTCTCCATGTGGTTATACAAACCCCATATCCACTCTTCATGCTTCTTCTTCTCTTCCGCGCCTTCACCTTCCCATTTTAGAATGTACTGTATGTTATACAAGCTCCCTGCTCTGTGTGGAAATGGCGTCTCGTCTTCTGCAATTTCCGCCACTTTTCCGCCATAAGGATCGATGATGACGAATGGTTTCTCCTCTTTCTCCATCCATTCCCATAGCCCCTGTAATCCTCTCTTTGGCATCGGTCTCGTCAAATAATCAGACTTCGCCTTAAAGCCCAGATGATCCTTGTTTACTCGATCCAGAAGCACATCAATGGAGGTCGCGTTCTTGTAGCCTGAAAAGAACAGCACAGCTTGTCTCCAGCTCATCTCCATGGCATCCGACTGAGAAAACCTTAATTCAGGGAACCACTGGTTCATGGCACCCTTAAGCTTGCTATAATTTCCCAAGTAAAGAGACTGGAATGTTGTTGTAATGGCAGTCCCGCCCTTTTTCGCAGGCAAGCGTTGCAGGAGTACTCTAATGAAGAGGTTTCGAGGGAGCTTGTAGGCTATGAGGTTCCATTTGTGAATGAGTGCAATGGCTCTCTCATCATGGGTTTTGTGGATATTGAAAATGGTTACAATTTCAGGTACAGGGTGTATCATTAGCTTCCATGAGAGCACAATGCAAAAGCTCGCAGCTCCTCCTCCTCTTATGGCCCAAAAGAGATCCTCACCCATGGTTTCTCTGCTGAGAATTCTCCCTTTCGAATCAACAATTAGGGCATCCAGAACATTGTCGGCTGCGAGCCCGAACTTGCGAACCAAGAGGCCAAAACCACCGCCACTAATGTGTCCGCCAACGCCAACAGTTGGGCATAGCCCTGCAGGGAAGGCATGGTTCGGGGCGTGCGTCAAGATTGCATGATAGAGCTCACCCAGTGTTGCACCAGCCTGAACCCACATGGCTAGGTTGGTGCGATCGTGAGCGACGGTGATGGCTCGGAGGTTGGCTAGGTCCAGGACTAAGAAGGGCTTGACAGAGAGAGAAACCGATGACAGGTTCGCGTAGTCATGACCACCGCTCCGGGTTCGGATTTGGAGATGGTGTGCTTTGGCGCATTTCACTGTGGCCTCGACGTGGTCGAAGGTATTGGGGTGAAGGACGAAGATGGGTTGGTAGGGGGAGGAGAGAGAAGGGGTGAGCAGTGGGTTGGTGGTGGGGATTGGGGTGGGAGATGTGAGAAAGAGGCATTTCAGAAATTGTAGCTGCTGGCTTGAGGCGTTGGTAGACAGAGAAGAGGTGATTGTCGAGAGAGAACTGGTGGTGGTGGTGGTGGTGGTGGTGGTGAGGAGAGAGAAGAGGATGAGAGTGAGGGAGGGGAGAGTTGCAGCAGGTCTTGGTGGTGGTGATTTCCGCCTCATTTTGCCTTGTGGATAACGCATGGAGTTTGGACGTTGAATAGGAGGGTGGGTGAGGTTTCTGTCTTCGGCGTAAATTACAAGAAAGCCAAAGGATTTCGTGCTCTTGAGGGAGCATACTCAAACAATCATCCCATAGGGGTGATTTTTTTTTTTTTATTTATTGGAGATGGATTTTTTGATCCAATTTTTAAGAAGATGTTATCTCTAACATGCGATCATGAATACGAAAAACTAATTAAATTTAAAAATAAAAATTTTATGAATAAAATATTTGAACAGTTAGTTTCAACTATTTTTAAATCGGTGCAATTGCATACGGATGCATCCTTCAAATTTTATCACGGTATATAATTTTTATGTAAAATGTTTTTAGGATTATCTCAAAATTTATTTTTATATCTAATTATAAAATTTTAAATTTTAAAAATAGTTAAAATCAAGTATATCTATAAATATATGAAAATCTTAAAAATGGACGATAAAGATAATATGTTGTAAAATGCACTATTTTTTAGACTTCAAATCTTTTTATTTTTCATGGTCATACATCTCGATGTCGAGATGATCAATCAAAAGGTTTTTCAACATTTAAACTACCTTTTCTAATGGATTTTTGAGGTGCATCTATAGTTCTATATTATAGGGTTGCATCCTTATATAAACTTTTTCCTTTTTAAATTAAAGGTCCGAGTTGCTTTATACCTCTTTCGCAAATTTTAAAAAAATTATTTTTATATTTGACTTCTATTTTTCTTTTCAAATTTACAATTGTGGTGATCAAGATTAGCAACCTATCAATCTCAAATCCAAAAATCATAAGTGTTGATAATGGCTAGATAGGATTTCGAACATTGAAGGAAAAATCGGGCAGTCTAACCTGTAGCCGCCTGGTTAGATCGGAACCCGCCACTGACTGGTTCTTGTTTCAACCGGTTTTAATGGTTGGCAAGGTTTTTTTCAAAAAAAAAAAAAATATATATATATATATATATATATATATATAAT